GATGTGCTCTACTTACTTTTTTTTTTTTTTAACTGTTAAATAACAGGGCCAGTGGCTGTCAGCCCCTAATTAGTTAATGGCCTGAAAGTAGCGGCTGAGTTTCCTGGTAGCCGAGTCAAAAAGGAAAAGAAACGTGAAGTCTGTAGGAAACCTAGGAAATCTAGCCCTGTGCAAAGTTTAGTTGTACTAAAGGAAAGAAAAGACTAAAACACAGCAGATCTTTAGAAACTAGTGAGGTAATAACAGTAGAATTCCCAAAGAAGGAGAGGTCTTGAATGCACGCTGAGATGTTGAAGAATGGAAGGACACGGAGAAGTTGGGTGGGGGAGTTTATTCATTTCATCCAGGGCCCCTGGCAGGGTCTCCGCTTCTCCCCTCCCTGGAGCCCAGGGCGGGGGCTGTGTAAGCTGATAAAGCCGGTGACCCTGCCCTGGTCCCTCTGAGCCCTTGGTTTGCTTTCATTCTCCGAGGAGTTTGTGCTGTTGGCTGTTCTCATGCCGGTCTCTCCCACCTGGGCTTGCAGCCCGCTCTGGATTTATTAGTTCAGATGGGTGGAACTTGCTTTACACCAGGGATGGAAGGATTCCTGGAAACATGTTTGAGACTGGATTTGGGTAAATTGAACCCAATTCTCACTGCTCTGGAGTTACTCAAGGCTAAAAGAAACCTTATTACGCATCAATAGGAGTCCCTTTCCTAACTTAGGTCTAAGCAGGTGTTTTTTTATGTAGTGTTTATGTAGTGCGCGGTACATGTGTGTTTGGGGGAAGCTTCCTTAAAGTCAGGGGCACCTGTAGTATTGGTCTTTGATTTCTCATAATCACCTGGGCCTGACACACATCAGGTTCAGCATCTAAGTGTCCCCAGGTTGCTGTGTTAGGCCGGGACTGTAGGCACCCGATTTTCTCTGGGCCTGGATTCTTGCTGGTCTTACAAGCCAGGAGGGATGGCTGTGGCGAAGAGTGAATACCAGGGGATGGCCAACAGAGGGACCCTGTCTCCATGCCTCCTATCTCCAGGCATACACTTTGTTAGTCACCAGTTTTGCTGCTATCAGTTCATCCCCTTCTGTGTCCCCCTTCCAAACCTTTCACAAGGGTTAGGCCATTTCTTAAAACAACCCTACAAAGAAGACAAGGGAGGTATTTTAATCCCCATTTCACAGAAGGAAAAGAGGCTCAGAGATTTGCTAAATGCCCAGAATCTAAGCTGAAATGCTGACTAAGCACACAAACCAAGATTTTAAAAAAATTCTTGCTCCAGTTCTCTGCCTTCTGTCCTCCTGAGTTATTTGCTTTTTTTTACTTGAGTTTCCATATATTGAGTATGCATTCAAGTAGTTTTCCCTGGAAAAGAGGTCTGTTTCTCTGGAAAGACTCGTTCCCACTGTGTTGCACTTGTGTAATGGAGACTAGCAGGCTTCTGCTGGAAGAGTCTAGAACATCGAAGAAGTACCTTGGAGATCCGTGGGCCCAAATGCTTGATTTTACAGATGTGAGCATCGAGGCCCAGAGAAGTCAAGCCACTCGCCCAAGGTCACATAGCTAGTTCTCCGCAAAACCAGTGGTATAGTTTCCCAGTTTGATGCCCTCGCTTTCCACCAGGCCTTGCGACCCTGCTCTGTAGGGCCCTTGGTTCTGTCACCAGAGGAAAGGGAGGTAGAGACAGCAGGGAGGGCAGGGAGCAGTTGGTTTGTGTCGGTCGCAGCTGCTCATTTGGCTGCTCCTGCCTCTTGCTTCTTCACCCCATCTCTCTGTCTCTCCATTTTCCCAGCCCTGAGCCAGCAACCAGCAACCTTGTCTGCCTCCTGGCCAGAGGGTCGGGGTTTGTGAGCCAGGGGCTCGCCTCTGTTCATTGTAATGAGGCTGAGGGGGGTCCTTCCCACCCTGGGAGAGGGCTTGCTCGGGTGGGCTGGAGAGAAGGGAGCAAAATCGAGTGGGAGCCTGTGGGACTGGATTAATTCTGTGGATCCAGGGGACTGGGAAATAAATCATGTTTTAAAAAGACTTTCTTTTAAAAAGACAGGCTCGTTTCTGGTCCGCTTCCCATTTTCCTTTGGAGAAAGAAGGGGAGGCCTGCGTCTGGGGGATGAAGCGGGTGGGCATGAGCTCAAGCTTTTCCACACTTAGTAGGGGCTCAGTTTCCAAAGGCTGAGGGATCTTTTCCTGTCCATTCCCCCTGCCTGCCCACATGCCCAAACCCCAAGGGCCTGGAAGTGCATCAAACCAATAATTCTTGAAAAAAAAAAATCATCCCAGCAGCCAAGACCTGTCCTAGGGTTTGGGGGCATCTCCTCCTCTCGGACAGCCCTCATCTTCAAGCCTAGGGATTGACAAACCGCTGCTCACAGGCTACATCCAGCCCACCAGGTGGTTTTGTAAATAAAGTTTTATTGGCACACCACCCGTTTACAGGGTTGAGTAGTTTGGACAGAGACCACGTGGCCCACAAAACCTTAAATATTGACTATGTGGCCCTGTACAGAAAAAGTTTGTAAAGACTCCTGTCCTAGCACAACCACCCTTCCTGGTTTCTCCAGGCCCAGGCCAAATAATTTCCCTTGGCTCACTGAAAGAGGTTAGCATTTCCCAAAAGGATTCCTTCTGAGAAACCCAAAAGAAGCCAAAAAGGAAGGTGTACAAGATAACAAAGCCAGCCGAGATGGAGAGAGAGATGGGTAACCTCTTAGCTGAGTCAGCACAGGGCTGAGTGGGGCCAGATGCGCCTGGCACGGCCTTGCTGGGGAGCAGCCCAACTGGCCATATCTGGGGCACCAGCAGCAGCATGTGGCACCAGGCAATGAAGCCCCACACCCTGAACTCAGATCCACTTGCTCAACCCAGCTTAAAGCCTCGGAGGACCTAGGTGCGTCTGCCTTGTCTCAGCCCTACTGGGGTTTGAGAGCAGGGCCAGCATAACTCCTGATCTCCAAGGAGGCTTGCAGCTGCCAGGCCCGGTGAGAGGCTCTGGCCACAGAATGTTTGTCTTTGGGTGCAGTGCCTCTACCCCCAATTCCAGCTGACCTGGTACCTGGGGGTGTCTATGGAGGCATCTCCGCCGGGTGCCAGCATTTTCTTGGTGCATCCAATAGGAGCACCATCTGGTTCTTATCCTTGCAGCTCTAGGAATGTGGTTCTTCTGGTACCTCGGAGCTGATTGAACCAAGCTCACAGAAGATGTCACCAATGGAGGCTCACAGCCATTGAGCGCTGACTGTACACTAGGCACTGTGCTGAGCACTTACTGTATATTACATCACTTAATCCTCACGGCAACCTCACAGTAAATGTATCATTTCAATATGGATTTTTACAAGTGAGGAGACAGAGAGGTTAAGTAGCTTCCTCAAAGGGGCAGAGCCCGGATTTGAATCCAGAGAGTCACCCTCCAGATGCCTCGCTAAATCTCTCCACCGGAGCCCTACTCTGTGGTTTAGAACGAAAACTGGAAGGGCCACCAGGCTTCCCAGTTCTACATGGGGAGCCAGCCTGCGACTGGAAGGCAGCTTGCTGAGCAAGGGAGAGTCAGGTGCTTTAAATGGTGAGTGGCATCAAACTGGTCACCTGAAGCCTGTGTCCCCACCCGAGATGGACGCTGTGTTAGCAAGTTACTTAACCTTTCTGGCGCATGTCCTCATCTGTAAAATCAAGGGAGTACCTTATCATTGTAGGTTTATTATGAAAAATAAATGAGTTGCTCTACGTAAGTGCTCAGCACGATGCTTGGGGTTCAGTAAGTGCTATGTACATGCTTGCTGCTGTTAGAGTTATGATGACTCTCTGTCATTGGGTCAGGCAGCAATCCTGGACAGCGCTGGACGGGCAATAGAAGGGTTTGCCTCTCAGACTTGCATCTCAACATTTCCGCCTTCCTTTCCCCACTACAGCCAACACTGTGCTCCTTTGGAAGTGATGAGCAGTTCGGTAGAGAAAGCCCCAGCCAGGGTGTTCCCAGACCTGGTTCCATTTCTGGCTTGATCACTCTGTGCCTGTGGGAACTTGGGCTGGTTACTTCCCCTGGCTGTATTCAGATTTCTCCCCTATAAAATGGGGCAACAAAATGCATGCCCACCTTAAGGGATTGTCATGGGGAGTAGGAGCCACTCTATGCCAGGGATAGACTGTCAGTGTTTATTGACCCTCTGATATTCTAGAAATGTTCGCACCGTTGATTAGGCTAAGTGCTTTCTGCCTCATTGAAATGTTACTATATCACATCTCACAATCATATGTTCTTTTAGGTGTTTTGACTTCGCTCCTTTCTCATGGCAGGAGGATAACTTTTAACCTCATTTCACAGATGAGGAGACTGAGGCCAAATCAGACATGACTTCTGAGCCTGGAATAGACCCCTCATCTCTTCTGGTCACTAAAGGTCCCTGTGCTTCTGGGTTGAAGTTGAGGAGTGAGATTCTCTAATATGAGGCTCCCTTCCATTCTGCCAGGGTCTGTGTGTCTTCCTCAGAGGGTGGGGCTGGGGTAAGAGCTGGACAAGACATCAAGACCCAGTGGTGTGGTACCCCAAGCCTGGAGACTGGCCTTGGGCTCCCCAACCCTGATGTTGAAAGTTCCAGGTTCGAGCTGCTGAGCCTGCTGGCCTGGTGAGGATCCTCAGAGACACCAAGCCCCATGGGGCCAGCTGCCCACATGCCAGAGAGAAAGGCCCAGGCTGCCTTCACCGGGGCAGTAATAACCCCTGGGCCCTGTTCCAGGCAAGGGTTGTGTGGGCTTCTCTGCTCCAGAGGATGCTGCGTTTCGGCAGACAGCTCATTATCCCCATCCCAGCCGGCTGTGTCCCAGTGCCTCTGTAATCACTCCGGCCCACGCCCAGCAGCCAGCCCAGGGCCAGGAAATCACTCCCCTCCCCTCCCCCGCCTTCCGCCTGCCAGCGGCCCAAAGCGGCGTCTGCAGCCACTATCCGGTGGACCTCCAGCCTGCCTAACGGTTCTCTCTCCTCTGATTCTCCTCTCCTGCTGCTGCTTGCTCTCGGGGACTCGGAAGTGTGGCTCTCCAGCTGGGCTGAGTCTCCCAAAAAGGACGTGACAGGTACCGCCCAGTGTGCATGAGAGTGCATGTGTGTGAACATGTGTATCCCAGGCATCCGTGCGTGGGAGCCGGTGCTGCCAGCCGCTTGCTACGTACTTCCCTGAGATGTTTAGCAACCCTTTGTTGGCTCGTCAGACGTCCTCTCTGCTTTCTCTTGCCCCTCCGCTGGCTGTATTCTCTGCTTGCCTTTCAGCCATGTTTAGGTCCCAGAACCAGCCTTGAAGCCCTCTGATGGGCAATGACCACATAGCTCTGTTTTTAAGCAAATACACTCTGGACCCAGAGTGTGTGAGTTTGAATCCCAGCTCTGCCACGTCCTGGCTGTGCTGCCTTGGCTGGGTTATGTAACCTCCCAAAGTGGATGCAATGTTACCCCACAGGGAACCTGGCACACAGAAAGTGTGTCCCTACTATTATCTTCAACTTTAACTCAGCTGGCCATCCCTGTGAGATGGGCCAGCCAAAGACTCTTAACCTCACTCCAGGCAGTAACCTGAGGCAAAGAGCAGGAGCCTGCTTTCCAGTGGTCCTCACCGGGGATCTGCAGCAGGGGATGGGAGTCCTGTGACTGTGGCGGAGGTCACAGCTCCCGTGCCCCAGGGATACAGAGCTTGGAGCTGCCTCTGGCCTCAGGAGGCTTTCCAGGCTTTGGGCTGCCTTGCCTGGATGGCCCTCAGAGACTTAGGTCTGTGCCCTGTGTCTGGGCAGAGCTGGGCCAGGGGTCAGGGGCTTGCCTTTAGTCTTTGGTCTTATTGGACAATTGCAGAAAACCTGGATAGCAGGGTTCTCGGTTGCTGAGGGAGATGGTATCAGAAAGAGGGGTGGGACTTTCAGAAGGCTTTTCTAGGAACCCCTCCATCTCTGAGAGTGCTCTTGGACTCCCCTCTCCTAGCCCAAACCTGAGAGCAGAGGTTCAGGCTTGGAGATTGGGCGATAAAGCAGAAAGGTCGGGTCAGAGAGAGCTGGGCCGGCCCCTCCCCCCACAGCTGTGGGCAGGGAATGGAAGGTGAGCATCCTGACAGGCTGGACCAGAGGAGAAGGTGGCAGGCAGAAGGACCCTTTGCCGGTCCCAAGCCCCTTGCAGTCATCCGTATGGCTGCCTGTGACGAGGGCCTGGGCCTGAGCTAATTACTGGGCTCCTGTCCCTTTTTCCCCTCTCCACGCGCCAGTGAGCCAGAGCCCACTTGGCCCACAACAATACATTTTATTCACCAAACGTATAGCCTGGCCGCCCAAGGGCCTGTGGAGAAGCCGGCAGGCCAAGTCCGGCCTGGGAGGAACCAATTGTGAGTGACTGGAGGGTTCTTAGCGGGATGCTCAGAGTTTAGGGGTGGGGGACCATGGAGAATGTGGGGAGCCTGGGGCAGAGGCCACTGCAGGGCTTCTCAGCAGGAGCCCAGCTGTTTGCAGTAAGAGGCTGAGGGGAGGCAGTGATGGACAGGGGTGGGAGGGAACCAGCCAGGCTCCGAGTCAAGGGCTGGAGTCTTGAGTGAGTCGCCAGGTCTCTCTGGGCCTTGATTTCCCATCTGGAATGTTGGAGAGTTAGATGAAACAGGAAACTCAGAGGTAGACGCTTATGCCAAGATCCTTATAGATGAGGGTCTTTGGGCTGCTTTGTCTGGTATCCCCTCCCCACCCCAGAAAGGGCTTGGGGGCTCTGGTCTGGCTCTCCAGCTGGCAAGCCCACTGCTGCCAGGAGGCGGGGTCTGAGAGGGGCATGTTACAGGGACACAGCCTCGGCCACCCTTCTTGTGGTGCCTGTGGCCCTTGCCCTGAGCTGCCTGCTGGTTCTGAGGCTGCAGAGGAACCTAAACCCCTCCTCCTCCTCTCCAAATCTCCCACCTCATACCATGCTCAGAACAACCCCATGAGGTAGGTACTGTTTCTGTTCCTGCTTACAGATGAGGGAGCTAAAGCTCAGAGAGGTTAAGTATCCTCCCCAAGGTCACAGAGCTGGCAAGGGCAATGCAGGACTGAACCTCAGGCCCTCAGACTCCAATTTTATGCTTTTGCATCATGACTCTTAGGCAGTTATTGTGTCCAGTACCATGTCCTATGGCACCAGTCCTGGGGCATGTACTCTCATCAGGGCGACTCTTATCTAAGGCACATGATCTGGTTGGGGAACAGTGCCCTCCAAAAAATCCTGTACAGGACAGGAGCAAGCACTATGACTGGAGTCATCAGGAGACTTCTGGAGGGCAGAGATGGCTGGAGAGAGTTGGGGTTGGTAGAAAGCAAGTCATTCCAGGCAGGGGGAACAGCTAAAGCAAAGGCTTCGAGGGAAGAACCCTCATAGAACAGCGTGGCTGGCACACAGTGGGAGCCCGAGACATATGTGTTGAATGATGAATGTTGCCTGGATCAGGGGATTGTGTGTCAGAGAACTTGGGGAGCTCAGATTGTCAAGAAAGTCTGAGCTTGAATTTGGCCTTTATTCTATAGGCCACAGGGACCCACCAAAGGTGTTGAAGCAGGGGACTGTCTTGGCAAAAGCCTCGCTGAGAAGTTTAAGTTGGCAGTCAGGACCCGGCAGGAGCCAGGGGTCCATCCAGGTGGTAGTTGGAGGGGGTGCAGGTGTGAGACAAGGGTGGGGCAGGGACCCAGGGAGCTGCCAGAGCCCCAGCAGACCCAGCCAGGGGCTCCAAGTGAGGCCCAGGGGCCCAGCCTTGCATGAGACTCTTACAAAGCCCCCCTTCCAGCTCTAAAAAGTCCGCCCCTTCTCCATGCCTCTGCCAAACCCTTCCCATCTGAAGACAGGAGGCTCCTCACACTGCCCCCTCTCCTCCCTGGGGCTGACTCCTTCAGCCCCCAATTTTCCAAGCCCTGGCTGGGAGGGGATCCAGAACAGCCTCTGTCGGATGACATCACCCACCGGCCCGCCTGCCGAGTGGTTTCTCATCTGGATACCTGCTCCCAGCTCACGCCGGCCCGGGCAGCCCTGGGCAGGCAGCACCCTGAGAGGCAGATGCCAGAGTGAGCAAGCTGGGAGCCTGCACGTGCTGGGGGTGGGAAGGGCAGCGAGGAGGACATTGTGCCTGTCTGTGTGTCCATCTGTTCATCCCCTAGCCTTTGGAGTAGCCTCCAATAAGTGCCAATGGCTGTCGTCTGGGCTCTGAAACGCCTGGGGAACATTTCCTTAGCTTTTCTACCTGTGCCCCAGAGTGTCAGCCTTCAGAAAGCTCAAGCAAGCCAATTTTCCAAGGGGCCATGGGGAGGAATATGTGGATTTTCCCCCTCTTTGAAATCTTGCCTCAGGTTTCCTTGGCTTGGATTAAAATGAGCTGATGTCTCTCCATTCCCCAGCACTCCTGCTTGTCCTCTCTGGCAGCTTCTGGCCGCAAACTTCTGGCTCCTTGCTCTTCTGTGCCTCTGTTTCCCCATCTCGCCTTTCTCCCTTCTACAGTTTAGTTATCTAGTTCTTCTGAATTTCAGAGGTGAGGCCCTGCCTGGTATATCCATATTGGCTCAAAACAAATCATTAAGTCACTCTGCTCATCTGTCCGCCTTTTCATTCATTTCATTCATTTTACATTTGCTGAATGCCAGCCACATAATGGGCATTGTGTTCTGGTCAATAGATGCAGCAAGAGTCAACACGGAACCCATACTCCAATCTTTATTAAGCACCAACTGTATGCCAAGTGTCTGGGGACAGGATGAGGCAGGGCCCCTCCTTGGACACCAGGGTTCCAGTGGCTCTCTTGTAGGCCAGGTACAGTACAGAAGTTCAGAACACAAGTGCCGGTGTCACGTGGTCTTGGGTTCAGTCCCAGCCTTGTGACCTTAGGAAAATGGCTTACTCTCTTGAGCCTCAGTCTGCCTGTGAGTAGAATGGGACACAGTAACAGGACGTACCACATAGGGTTGCTGTGAGGATCCAATGAGACAGTGAGACGAGCTGCCCATCAGTGAGCGATAACAAGGCTCGTGATTAATTGTCATTGTCATCTGGGCATTTTCAGGATTTGGAAGCTCTCTAACCTGCTGCTGGGGAACTCCTATGTGTATCTTGAGTTCTCTCACAAACTATAAAGGATCCCCTTTTTCTGCTGGGTGCACTTAAGAAGTGCTTTTGGCCACAGAGGCACTGATGTGCCCCCAGGGGCCCAGTGGGAAGTAGTCTCTGTCAGCACTGCCCAGCGCTGCCTCTGTCCTGCTGGCAGGGGCAGGGGCAGGCGCAGAAGCCGGCCGAGCCTGAGTGCAGAGCCGGGCTGGCCCTGCTGCCCAGCTGTTGGTTGCATTTCTGCCTGAAATACAATCCTGGCTTTGGAGGGTCTGCCCGGGGCTGTGCGTGTGCATATCTATGTGGCAGGCCTCAGCTGAGACAGGGTCCCTTCTGAGTCTCTACAGGGCTGAGCTGGGGCTGGAGATCCATAACTCATGGGAGAAAACCTCCAGGAGCAATGGGTTTCTTTCCCATCCGTTCCCCCCTGCCCGAGGTAGGCTAGATCGCCATGGAAAGACCCAAAGAGCTAAGCAGTGCTGTACATGAGAACCATGGGGGAGGGGGCTGTCTAAAAAACTGCCCAGACCCATTAAATTTGGACCCCTGGGGGTGGGGCCCAGGCCTTGGTATTCTTTCAAAGCCACCCAGACAATTTTGTGGGACCAAGTATGAGGGTCATTGTGCTAAGAGAGTGGGATGCCTGGAAACAAATCAGAGGCGGTTCTGTAACGGAAGGAGAGGTGGGCTTGAAGCTAAAACACTGAGTGAATTTGGTTCTCTCCATAGCAGCTGTGTGAGCTGGGGCAAGCCTCTGGCCCTCTCTGGGACTGTGAGTAGTCTTTTGTGAAATGGGAAGTAAGAAGGTTGTTGTGACGATAAAATTAGACAGGGCACGTGCCTGGCACAGAACATTTGCCAAGTTAGACTCAGGCATGTAGGGAATATGGCTGCAGGCTGAAGCGCTGAGGGGGACTGCGTGGAGCCTGGGGACCCTGCCTCAGCCATTTCTACAGCCACATGGTGGTATGAAGCCCCCAGCCTCCCAGGAGACTGGCAGATGTTTAGAGTGGTAGACGCATAGTTGAAGAAATGTGCTAGGAATTTCTTTTGGGCGGAGGGGGGCTGGGAAGGCCTCCTATAGGAGGTAACCAGTGGGTCTCTGGTTTATGGATTCTTTCAGCTCCTAGCAGGGCAGGTATTGTCATAGGTGTTTTGTGATGATAATAGTGATAACTAGTGATGGTGATGATAATAGTGAAACTCAAGAGAGGTTTAAGCAGCATGTCCAATACCACACTGCCAGTCAGCTGAGATGGGCACCCAGTCAGTCCACCTTCTAGCCAGGTGCTTGCTTAATGAATGTTGCACCAGTTTGGCGGCTGAGGAGGACACAGAAGTTGCTTGCTCCTGGGAGCCTGCCCTCCTGCCATTTGATCCCTCAAGCTCCATGAAACAACCAGGAGAGGGCAGCTGGAGGCTTCTGGGAGCCTCCCCACATGGCCCAGCACTTCAAAGCAGAGGGAGACTGAGTCGATCTCCATGCGGCCAGTGGGTAGCGGCCAGGCCGGACCAATGCCCCCTCTGGAAGCGGGGCTGGGAGAGCCAACCTGAGGCTGGTCCGTGTGTGCCAGGCCCTTGGACTCGGTGGCAGCACCCTGGTGAGCCCAAGGGGCAGGCACGGAGCCGAACTTGAGGAAAAGTTGGCGGGGGGCTGGCTGGGCTGGCCGGCTGCTGGCGCTGGGACTTTCTTCTTGGGTTTCAAGTAAACAGTGTCGGCCCTCCTCCCCCTCCCCTGCCTCCACCCCCAGCTCCTCATTCGATGGGTCTCATGTGTTTCTATTTAAGGGTTGCGAGTAAACCCCAGTGATTGGCGGCCTCAAACCCTCTTGACTTCTCGCCTGGGCCCAGGCTGTGGAGACGGTCTCTCCGGCTCTCTCCCTCTCCCTCCCGAGGGGAGGACTGCTGACTCTCTTTCTCTGGATTTACAGGAGTTGGGGGAGAGGCAGCAGCCGTCCTCCTTGCCTTGCCTTTCTCTCTCTTCTCCACTCTGGCCTCAGCCCTCATGACCCGCCCGCCCGCGGCCCTCCCCTCACACCCCTGCCTCCGAGGGGTCTGGAGAGACCACGTTCGCCCCAGGCCTCTCCTCTGCCTCCCTCGTGCTGGGCTGTGACTAACGCATCACAGCAGCAGGCTTTTCCTCTGAGTTTCCTTGGCCTCTGTCTCTGTCTGTCTCTCTCCTCCCCCCACCTCCCCTCTGTCCCCTGGCTCCCCATGTGCCCCGGCCCCCGCGGTGCAGCGGGCCGGTGTGGGGCCTTGCTATATGGCCTGTCCTTGGGGCCCAGCGAGCTGCGAACCCTGGCTGCAGGCGGCCCCTTGGAGCGGCGCTGGCGACAGAGCAGCCTCCCCCGATGGACAGGGGGCGCCCCGGCCGCGGGGCCATGGCTGGCCGCTGGCTCACCGCGTGCTTTCTGCCCTCGCCAGGTGCCGACACCAGCGCCGAGCCCATGATCCTGGAACAGTACGTGGTGGTGTCCAACTATAAGAAGCAGGAGAACTCGGAGCTGAGCCTCCAGGCTGGGGAGGTGGTGGATGTCATCGAGAAGAACGAAAGTGGTGAGTGCCCCAGCCAGCCACTCCAGGTTCCAGCCTGGCTCCTCGGATGGACGGCTGGTTTTTGTTCCCTTCCTCCTCCCCCACCTCTGCGCTATACGTTATTTCCATCTGGCGGGGAGAGGGCTGAGGAGGCTGAAGTTTTCCCCTGTTGGTTTGGGCTGCAGGCCAGCAGTTTGCCTGGTGGTGGAAGAATGTCTCCACTGCTCAGGGTGATTAACCGGCTTGTGTTAATGCAAGGCCCGGGTGGCAATGCGGGTATAACTATCCAGCCCACGTTCAGGCTCCCCGTGCCCGCTGAGGCCCATAGGGAAGGTAGCTCCCAGCTCAGGAGCACCCTACAGCAGCTTCCTCCATTGGGACCCTATTCCAAGCCAGGGTCCAGGCAAGGCCGGGAGAACCCAGCTAGCTGGTGGAAAGGTGGGCCATGACACCACTGTGGGGTCCAGGGTTCTCGGGCCCCTGGTGGGTTGTCTGAGGAAAGGCCAGGCCTTTGGGGGTTAGCTAGTGCCTGGGCAGTGAGCTGACTGCCCCCTGCCGAGCTGAAGGCTTCCAGGACCTGGGAAGGAGGCCCAGACAGGGGGATGAAGCCAGGTCCTGAGGCCAAGGAGGGTCCTGTAGCAACCGCCCTGTCATTGGGAACTGAAAGCTTTGTTTTGTCTGGGGCCATCCAGGGGTTTGCTGTTTTCAAGGTTCTCACTGAGTGGGCCCAAATGTCTCAGTGCCCTTGGCAGCAGGAGGCTTTGCAGGTGAAGAGAGGAGGGAGTCCAAGGTGCACGCCTGTGCAACCCGCTGCAGGACCGGGGACACCTCTGGCCCAGGACATCCATCAGCAGCTTGCCCAGGACCTGCTGGGCTTGAATTGGTTTCTGGGATGTTGTTTCGGTTTCGGTTTGCTGCGAGGGAAGGTCCATGCAGAGGAGCCTCTCTGAGCTGTGTTTGGAGGATACTCCCAGCGGGGAGGGGCCTGTTCTCCTTTCCCTGCTCCACTCATTTCCCTTCCAGTATTTTGAGCCCTGGAAGGAAGACAGACCAAGGGATGACCGTGCCCATTCGATAGATAGAGTAACTGATGCACAGAAAATTTGAGAGGATGTGAGTCATTTGAGGTCAAAATCAGAACAGAACAAAGATGTTCCTAGGCCCCTGATTTTTATGCCTGTAGGCAGCCGGTAGCTGTAGAGATGCCTAGGAAATCCCAGCAGCCCTCCTGGGGGAGGTGAGCTTAGGCTGCGATGCCCCCATAGGCCTGACTCATGGCCCTCCCTGGTCTGGAGTCTTCGCAGCCTGTTCCCTTCTCAGAGAGGTCAGGATCTGCCTTTGGGTGCCTAGAGTCACCACCAAGGTGGATGGCAGCCGCAGTCGCCCCAACAGAGCCCGTCCCTAGCATAAAGCCTGGGCCCTTCACCCCAGGTGCCCATGTGAGTCTCCTTCCATCTTTTATCCCAGTAACAACCCTACCTCGCTGCCTCCCAGGGAAGCTGCATTGTCACAGGCGCCTGGCTCTGGAAAACACTCAACACCCAGAGGAGGGGATCTCTAATGGTGGAATTAGAGGCACCAGCTGAGGAGAGATGTTTGTTTCGGAGCTGGTTCCCAAGAAAGGTGGGCCTGCTTTTCCGCATAAGGTCAGATCTGCTCAGAAGTGGCGTTCTGGCTTAGGGACCCTCTTGCCACCTCACTGCTTTGTATCACCAGCATAGCTGTGTAACCCTGGAGAAGCAGAAGTGGGTACCAGCCACTGGCCAGGACGGCTCAAGAGGAAGCCCCACACAAAGAGAAGTCAGCCCGCTGTGTATCAGACTCCCTGATTCCCAGGGCCATGTGTGTCCTCTGCCTTCCCATCCCACATCCAGGACCCAGGGAACACAGATGACCTCCCCAAGCCCTTTCCCAGATCTGAACTCCGAGGCTGGGAGACTCCATAGGGCTCTGGGTGTTGGGTGGGGAGAGCCTCTCTAGAGGGGGCTTTTCCACTTCTCCAAGAGTTTTGTACCTTTACCCTTGGTGGAGACAGCTGCCCAACAGCAAATGTTTACACAAGGACCTTGCAGAGCTGTGTTCACTGTGCAAACCCACACTATCTGTTGCCAGCAGTATCCAGGAGGCCTGGAGTGTACGACCAGCTTAACCAGAGAAACTAAGAGGGTGGAGGGCAGAAAGGAAGAGGGCCAAACTGCAGATCCTTAGGTGGGCGGTTTCCCAGTTCTAGGAAGCTGGACGGCTGACGGTGGGGGAGGGGAGGTGTGTTGTGCACCCTACAAGCTAGCTTTGGAAGGATTAGTGAGGGAGGCTTTTGAACTCTGGAACAAAGACCCAGTTGTGATGCCTTTGACCTTGGGACACGGTGGGTGTGTTGAGGCATTTCCCCTCGAATTATTGGGTCAGCAGTCCCAGCGCTATCCCTGCCGCCTGGGGACTTGCCTTGCCCACTGGGAGCCAGGACTCTGCCTATGTCACCTTCTCGCCAGGCTGGAAATCCCTTGACTAGAGTGTTCATAGAAGGATCCAGCCACCTCTGGCTCTGCCTGCTCATCAGAGCCCTCGGGCTGGGACCATTGCCACCAAGCCATTTGGAGGTGTGGTTATGCCAGTGCTCTGTAATCTCATTGTTCTCAAGAGAGACGTGTGTGAAAGGCAGTCGAGAATCAGTAAACAGTAAACTCCAGGTGTCGGGCCGCGCACTTCACATGCATCATTCTGCGGAAACCATGGGACAACCCCACGCAGTAGAAGGCACTTGAACCATTTTGTGGCTAAAGTAATAGGCTAAGAGGTTAAGTTGTTTCCCTAGAGTCCAATAGCTGAGATCTCTCCCCTCTACAGAGGACGTTGGGGAAGGGCGAGAGTGGGCTGATCCTGGGTGGGATCATCCCCAAGCTGCCGAGGCTACAGGTCAGGGAGAAACACGGCCTGGTTGAGATGACCACAAGGCTCCCTGGAACGTTACAGAAGGGTGCCTCTGTGCCCCTCCTTCCAGCATGGTGATCATAGGTCGTGGGAAGGGAATTCATGTTGTTAATTGTTCCTTTGAACTTGGGGACAAGCAAGAGCCAAGAGGACCTGAGAAGGGTGATGTGTACCCAGCACTGAGGACAAGCCTATTCCAGAGAACATAGGTGGACAGAAGTCAGACATTCAAAGTGAGACCTGAATTGTTTCACGAAAAGCATTTTTGATCAAGCAGTAGGCCTGGGACCCAGCCAGGGAAAGATTCTTTTTTTCCATTGTTTAACAGGGACAAATCTAGCAGAAAGATTCAACAGCTTTGTTAGCTTTGCCAACCAGCAAGGCATGTAGCTGCCATTGCTGGCTTGTCCATGGAAGCTTCTCCACCTTTGATATAAGTAGCAGTGCCTGAGATGCCTCCTTTGTAGGACATTCTTATGCCTCAAAGACCACATTGGCTTCACCTTCCAGCAGGGATAATCTGGTCTAACTTCTGACAGAGCAGCGATGGCAGGGTCCCAGGTGCTCTGATTTCTGTGTTGAGCAAAGCTGCATCCAACTTTCCAGGGCTGTTTCCTTCTTCTCAGGACTAAGGGCCAGGGGAGGAGGTGGAGATATGCTCATTACATACTCCTTGCTCACTCTTTTCCTGCATCAGCTTTCCTCCTCTGAGTCTTTGCTTCTTTCCTGGTACTGGAGTGATAACACTGGGAAATCTTACACTTCCTTGGAGGCACATAGCTACAGAATCTAAGATCCAAGCATTGTGCAGGCAAAGAATTTTGAGCTCCGCTGGTCCATCCAGGTGAGAAATTGTGTAGGTGAGAAAACTAAACCTTGGACAGACATCCACTCAGACTTGCTCATTATTGAAAGGATTATTGAAGATTATTGAAAGGATGCTGGAAAAAATCTCACCAAACCCATGGGTGGAAAGTACATCCCCCAGCCTCACAGGGACTGGGAACTTGAAACCAGAAAGTCAACATGAGCCAAAGCAGCTACTCTTGTCTCTCTCGGGTCCCATGTAGATTTAGAGCCCAGCCACATGAACTTCTCCTAACTGCATGCTTACCTTCCTTCTCTCCCTATTCACTTATAACAGCAACCTGCTCATCTGCCATTGGCTTGTCAGGACAAGACTCTGCATGACTTTTCAGTGGCAACCACCACCACCAACTGACAACGGCCTATGGGTCTCTTGAGTTCAAAATTTGACATTTAAATCTGATTGACAGACCTTAAGTCATGTGTCCAGCCCTGGTGTCATGGGGGATAAACATGGCTACCTAGACAACTTGTTCAGCAATAGTGGAGGTCAGGTTTTAAAGAAAGGAGATCTAGAAGGGGTAAAGAAACTAAAAACATGTTGGCTGCAACTGTTTTGCTTGTTTTGTAGCTGTGTGTGTAGTGAAGAGAGCAGAGCATCAGGAATCTGAACACGAGGTTACAGTCTGATGCTACCCTGTGTGCCACAAATAAAAACCCCCTAATGTTTGTTTCCTTATAAGTATAACCGGGCGGTGATATATACTACATGGACTATTTTTTTAATGAAATGTAACCATTTATTATTGCTTTGATAAATATCTTTTTCAATAAGACAGACTAGTAAGTTTTCCTCTCAGAGTTGTGTATCATAATGATTCTTTTGTGTTGTCAAAGACCATACATTCTTCAGCATGAAGAATTGTGAGCTGGAATCTTCTTAACACTGAGGACGTGTCTGTTCTGTTACTTAGATGTTGCTTCCTGGACATTGTTATAGCTGGTTCTACACGGGCTTTTTATGAGGGAGGCGTATACTCTGTAGAGTGTTCATTCATCCATCTCACAATTGTCGAGTACCGCCTTTGTCCCAGGCCCCGTGCTGACTGGGTACAGACCCATAAGGTTCCTGCCTTTAGGGAGCTTAGACTCTCGTTGATGTGAGTGTTCTGGGTACTTATGGGATGGACTGGAATGTGGGGCTGGGATAGTTTTGCACCCTTTCCATGGCCTAAGTGGACTTCTGTATATCTTCGATATCTTTTGCTTAGTTTGTGCGCTCACTA